CATCTGCCTGCTGCTGTTTGATGGTGGCACAGACTTTCAAAACTGAAGTGTATCCTAAAATGATGATATGTATCTATGTTTTTTTACACTTTGCATCAATGATTTTGGATCGTTGATCATTTAATAGATATATCGATGGATCGTTACACCCCTACTTACTGTTACAGTTATCTTCACTGGATAGCCTTCCATGTAATGTAACGTATCAGTTAATTTATTTTTTCAAGGCTAGATGTTGACATAAAGTAGCTTTTATATCTGACTTAGTGTATGTTTTTAAACCATCATATGCACGTCTTTATTTTCTCCCCACGTTCCATCTCTCCCTCCATATATGCCAGCTGGCTGTAATTATGTTTAAATGTGACATTTGGAGCTTGAAACGTCACTTGCGGATGTGCTAATAAATTGCTTTTAAATGGAGCTACATGCTATGAACCTTTCTCCATATTACGTTGTGAGAAGTGTTGAAATTTAGACCATGAAAATGTGTGGGAACCCTGATACAACCTGTGACTGATCAGTTGGGTCTGTTCAAAAATAACACAGGTCCTGCAGGCTGCAGGGCAGCAAATACTCACCTCCAGTTTGTTTTGCAAGATGCACAGGCCACACTCAGCCTTTTTTTCAGATATTTTTTTTTTTTGTTTATTTTTACCTCTACCATTTTCTTTTTTCCAGTGCATAATAATTACTTGCACTTTGTTGTCAAAATGTGTAGCCTGTGTCTCATTCAGTGACTGAAAATCAAAGATAAGTATAGGGTGTCCCCAGCTTAACTGGTTGTTTAATGGCACATAAGAAATCATTGTGTCACAGATAGAATTTGTCTTTTCTGGTAATTACGCTCATGCAAGACCAATAAAAACAACAATTAATAGCTGAGCTTTGTTTAATCTCACTTCAAACTCTGTCCTCATATGCCAGTAGTGATCTTTTTAACTGGAATAAAAGTCACAGATGCGCTTCAGGAGAAATGGTTATCTAGTTGAGCAAATGAAAACAAACTAGCAACATTAGACAATTTGGCACAAACAAAATTATCATCTGCCTCTTAAGCAAAAACAGCATATTTCAGAAGTTTCCAATCTAGTTGACATGTCATGCACGCTGAAAAGATTAAAGGAACAGGTCACCCCCAAATTTTCATTTTACCTGTTTGTCAGTCTAGATTCTTTTGGTGTGAGTTGGAGATATAATTTGATAAACTCAACAGACATCATGACCCGGTTCTTAAGATAATCCACAAACCTTGTAGCGCACAGCTTCGTGTAGGAACTATTTTCTTTCTATCCAACAACACCTCAACCTTATTACTGCACACAAGGGAGTGTGCATGTACTCATGGATGAGAGGCTTGTGCATGTGACAATGTGAGTTGAAAACATTAATGGTGTCCTCAGTGGTGCTAGGTCAGCTAGCAATAAAGCTGGCAATGCACAATTCCTTCTGTGCAGTGATACAGTTGTACAGGTGTACTTTGCTATCAAGAAAATAGTTCCAACATGAAACTGCTCCCAACAAGGTCTGTGGATTATCTTGAGTAACCGGGTCATTTCTGGGAAGAGACATTGCTGTTGAGTTTTTCAAATGTATTTTTTGGTTCTTTGATCACCACAAGCTGAGTGCCATCTACTCTATCCATCCATCCATCCATCCATCCATCCATCCATTTTCAACTGCTTATCCAAAGCCGGGTCGCGGCAGACGTCCCTTTCCCCAGCAACGCTTTCCAGCTCCTCCTGGAGGACACCAAGGCGTTCCCAGGCCAGATGAGATATGTAATCCCGCGTGTTCTGGGTCTGCCTGGAACACCTCCAGTGGGAGGTTCCCAGGAGGCATCCTGATTTGATGCCCTTACCACCTCAACTGACCCCTTTCGATGCGAAGGAGCAGCAGCTCTACTCCGAGCTCCCTCCAGATGTATGAGCTCCTCACCCTATGGGGGAGATCACACAGAAATGAGACGCTAGAGACGGGGACGCTTCAAAGACGCTTGAAATGCTGGAAGCGCTTATTCAATGCGCGCTACACAAAAAAACCCAGCAAGGAGCACCTGTGGAGCGGGGGTGCGTGTTCAACACACACACACCTCCTGTCATCTCCCTATGTCTCCCCTTGAATATAGTGTTTCCCTCAAAGACAGTAGAGTCAGTACTAGCTTACATGAAACTATCACGAGCTATCAAATCAAATCCAACTTTGTTTATATAGTACTTTTCATACATAAAAATGCAGCACAAAAACTGTGAACTACGAAATAAGGTCAGCAGCCCTCTCACATATCCCACTGTCTGAAAGTTAACTAGCTGCTACGACGATATCGTTGTCGTAAATTACATTGTACTCACCAGACAAATTCGTTGCGCTGCTCGCACAGCTCCATGCGTGTCTCCTCCTGTGTTTGTTTGAGTACTGAGGTGTGCGTGTGTTGTATAATTCTTAAAAATCAAATATTGTCAGGATAAATTTCTCATCTTCGTATTGCGTTGTGTTGTCTGTCGCTCATAACTGCCGTAAAACTGCTGGAACTGACCAAACTGCCATAACTGCCACAACAAAACAGGAAGGAGGATTTAACTGGCTGCCTGGGCCAATGACGACAATGACAAATGGTGCTACTGGCGTCTGATGCTCAAAAAGTTGAAAATATTTTAACTTTTCAGTGTCTACACGCATCTAAAAAGAAGCGTCTAAAAATAAGCATCCACAAAAATGCGCATCTAAAAAGACGCTGGAAAAAATGCCCGTCTAAAAAGACAATCTCAGTCTTTCGGTCATAACCCATAGCTCATGACCATAGGTAAGGGTTGGGCCAGCTTTCGATTTACTGGTCATCTACTGTAGTTCCATTATATTAGAGAGAAGGCAGACATCTCTACGGCCAATATCTCCAACACTCAGCAACTCACACCAAAACAATCTAGAATGATTAAAAGCACTACAGGTGAACGGTAAAATATGTATTTTGATTTTGGTTGTTAAATTTTACATTTAAGAATAAAGAACTGTTTATACATTGCGTGGTTGACCATTTCACCTTTTCCCTGTGGATGTGTTACAGTCTTGCTCATGCATTGTGATTGTATCAGTTCTCTCTGTGTGATTTCTCATTACAAAGTTATTTTCTGTGTGGCGTGCTGTAAGGCTCAGTTAGCCTCATCAGTAAGCATAATATTAGTATTTATTGCCGTGCAGATGATACACAGCTTTACATCTGTGTTTTGCCAGATAATGTTTGACAGGACTGCTTCATTAACTAAGTCTCTGACTATAATCTACTGTATGTTTTGCATACAATATTACTCAGGCCTGAAAAGAGCTTTGGTGATTTAATTAAGGGTAAATAAATAGATTTTAATACAAGTTTTGAGCCTTACATAAGGAATGTAGCAAAAACCATTTGGCCACCTGAGAAGCATAATAAAGGTCATTATGTTTGATTGTCAGATATACACAAAAAAAAACAACATGCATATTAACAGACTGCTGTTGATGGAAGCGACAGTCTCAGGTCTTGCTGAGAAAACACCAATGTGAACCCTGAAGTTCGGAATGAGCTATATCAACTATATTAACTGTATAGTTTGCAGATTTACCACCAGCGCCTGTACCTGCAGCACCAGTGTCGGCTCACTCACTTTTTCTTGCAAAGCTCCTCCCCTCTCACTGTTTAAACATGAAAATACATTTTGCAGTATAGATAAGTAGAAAAATTCAATGATAACATCTTCGTCCAAGATCCACCCAAACCCTAGCTACACCCTTAACAAGTACTGTATAAGGTCTTTAGTTGCTTTCTTTAGCTGCTGACGTTTCACGTTCCCTTTTGCTCCTCAGACTTAAACTGAAGGTTAACATGCACCTTTTTATTCAATTGTAATTATTCTATGTGAAGTGCATTGCGTCATATCATCATGCACAAAGGGCCTAAAGTGTGTAATTACTTGAGTGAATGATTGAGGAAGTGAGTTTATAGTACCTCAAACTAAGGGCAATTAACCAGACACACACAACCTGAGTACATGCAGCATTTAAGCCTCATATTTAAGATTTAAAAAAGACCCTAATTGCTTTAAAAAATATTCAGCAATAACAGGCTTTTCCTGGGTTTTCCTCAGAAGAACTATACAAAATGGTTTTATGGTGTGAAAGTGGGTCTTGCGGTGTCTTAGGGCAGCAGGATAAGTGGTAATCCCTTGGGTGGTGCTCTGTTGTAGACTACAGATCCTATAGAGCTCGGGCCGCTGAGTCAGCCTTCACAATTCTTCCAGGGGGAGCAGACTAATCTCCCAAGTACCTTCCTCTGTCAGCGGTCCAAGCATCTGTCGTTCTGCCTCTGGATGCCCCTACTTTCCATTTCTAACATCCCAGTCCCTTGTGGCATCTGAGAACCATTTCTCGTACTTGTTTTTTGCAAAGTCTGTGTCTGTTTAATAGGTCTCACCTGATTTCATCCTGGTAACGCCCCAGTAAGAGCGCTTGATATATTGCTGTTTCTGAGTGAAAATGTTGTAATTCCCCCTTGCACTTTAACTAAAGGGATTATGGTCCTTCACAGGCTGCAAATATTCTCCGGCCTGTTTGGTGTAGGATAGCCCTCAGTAATCTGTTGGATTAAATCACAAATGTGTTGTCACCAAGCTGTAAATAAGGCTGCTTGTGTACGTTCCAAAGGAGTTAAGATTGTGGAGATACAAGGTGTTCACCCAGCAGTGAGGATCTGCTGGAGTTTGCGTTTATTTAATTTGATCCTGACTGCCAGACTGCAGCTGGCTAGCTAAGTGCTTTGCCATTAGGGCTCTGTTCTGTGTTTAATTCTGCTACAGTGCTGAGGCTTATGGGTATAACGCCAGGCTGCATACTGCCTGCTCTACAGTAAATGTTTACCATCTTGTGTGCTACCTTGAGAATAATCAAACAGCTCCTCGGTGGTCTTCTTAATTAAACTGATGGCTCCGGTTATCTGACCTTTAATTCCCTGTGTTCTCCATCTGCAGATTTATAATGAGAAGAAGAGCCAGTTTGAAATCAAGAGAAACAACCCCAAGGACTTGGTGGAGAGGGTGGCACGGGACATCTCCAAGCTGCTCAACAGTAAGAGGAAAGCCCTGGAGGTAAGAGGATGATGCACCTGTGTACAAACATGCACTATAAGATATAAGCACACAAAGCAATGTGTCATTAAAGCAGCTACAAGACGTGTTTAACTGGTTATGAAACAGTCTCAATTTAATACTGATGCCTCTGTATGACCTGCGTAAGCAAACAAGTCCATCAGATGACTGATTCTATAGTTATTAATGCCTGTCCCCGGGTGCGACTCCATGCAAAATCAGATGAAATGATTCACAGCATGCAGACTAGACGAGCCTTTGTTCACATTTTCCAAGGCAAAGTTTGGCAGTGACTAATATGACAGACAGTTGTAAGAAAGCAGGAGGAGAATTTTTTTTTAAATGTTTTATTTTATTATGTATATTTTGGGACCAAATTTAGATGAGTGGGTAGGGCTGTGGATAAGCAAGGGGTGGATCTGACTCATAGACTGTAGTGATGTTTCGCAGACAGCATGTCATTCAAGCGGCCCTGCCCTCACGCATAAGTTATATAAAAATGAACCCCCTGTACAGTTGTTGAAATTAGCTATAGAGACCAAAACCATTTTTGTACCAGGTTGTCAAAATGCTTATGTCTGCTGTGAAGTTGGGCTTTTTTAAACACTGGGGTCTACATGTATAAGGACTGCCTCTGGAGCCAGCCTCAAGTGGCCAATCAAGAAACTGCAGCTTTTAGCTCGTCCACGTTGGCTTCATTTTTCAGCCATGGAGGTTGCCTCTTGGTTTTACATCATTATATAAATTCACGTTGGTGGCTAAAACAAAGGCTGTGTCCAAAATCATACACCCATTCACTACTCACAGCCTTGAATAAATGCATTACCTCATCACTATGGATCCTGGCTAAAACAAAGGCTGTGTCCAAAATCATACACCCATTCACTACTCACAGCCTTGAATAAATGCATTACCTCATCACTATGGATCCTTCAGACAGCTGCTTAAAAAAGAAAAATAGTTTTAAAAATAAATTTCATCTTTCTTTGACTTGCTTACAAAACAAGTGTATGCGCCAGCCAGATCAATATCTTTACAGCAAGAGGCTGTGGTGCTCATGGAAACACTACTACTATGAAAATCACAAAATGAAAGTTACTTGTAGTTACTCTAAATTCTCTGAGCTCTGGTTTTATCAGTGCAATCTCAAAACTTGTTTGCTAGGACAGTTCTGCATTCAATAGACATTTGTCTGTTTTGGGTAAGACCATAAATCATCAAAATAGTACCAAAAAAACTGCAGAAACATTTTTTGTCAACAGTATCATCATCTATAATTGAGCTTGTCTGATTATCTGCACGCTCTGAATCGGCTATCATAGTTTTTATTTTTGAGTCCTCCAGTCTTCCTCTGCATTCTATCTTAGTTTACACTGGAACATAGTGAAATTCTTTTCCATGTGCACGCACATTTTGGGGATGGAAGGAAATCCTTTATATTTGAAACCAATTTCAGGCCGACTGTATTTTGTCACTGACAAAAGTGGAGATTAACATTTGCGCAGCACGAGATTTGAGCTTTTTTTTTCTCTTTGTTCAATATTGGAGGCATATATTCTGAAGGATAGTTGTGTGTGGCATAAGAAGAAGGGTTATTTCATAGGTTATCACTTCAATGTCCTGCATTTTGGGGTATAATTATTACTACCGTTCTGCTCAGACAGCCCTGTGATTAGTTAAAAATTTGTTTCGCTCTCACAGTGGGGAACCTCTAACCCCTCAGAGGAGAAGAGAGGGGGGATACAGAGGCAGGAAGGCTGAGTGACAAGGAGGGAAATGAGAAAAGTATACACAATCAATTTTTAATTTTTAATGGCGAGATAAAGAAACGGAGCATTTGTGCTCATCCTGAACATTCAGATTCTAAAATCAAAATGTTGTCCCCTGTTTAATAGTCTGTGCCACAGTTTTGTTCAAATTATCTTCACACTTAAAATAACAGGAAATGTTGACAGCATATAATTCTCAAATTACCTGATTAGAATTTGTATTTATTGCTATTTAAAGCTGAATTTGTTCGTTTTTTCCCCACAATGGCAGCAAGGCACTCCTTTTAATCAGTTTGGTGATTCTCATCATCTCCACCCACATATACACACGCAGCTGCACACAAATCCACACACACTGATTCCTTTTAATCACTGTGATCATCCTTATCATAGCCTGCATGAGCTACATGCACACACATACACTGAAATTGTTGAGGCTGTCGTGCTTTTAAGACCTATCATTCAAACGTTAACCTGCATTTAGGTATGCATATTTTCCCTTTCACAAACAGTACATAATCTTTGGCGTACACAACTGATCACTGCTTTGTAGAGTTCTGTTGATCAGGTTTTGCTGGTCTAGTCCGGTGTACGAGCTTAAACCAATTTGACTTCATGCAAACCGGCTGAAATGGCATTTGCTATTATGAATCCTTCTGGCAAATTACAAAGTCTACATCAGCAACCTGTGCCAACGGAACAGTGCCAACCTTTATTATATTAATAATAAGCAATATGACAAGGTGATTAACATAATATTATGTTTATAAATGGACAAAGGGAGCCAGTAGTGTCTGACAGGCTGTAAGCTGAGCACTGCCAACATGAAGGAGATAAAATTTCAGTAGAGGTGGAAGCGAGGGCAAGTGGCGCAAATTGTGTTTGTTTACTAGAAAGTTTAAGTGTTTTCTGGGGTGATGAAACAAGACATGGCAGAGTTAGTCTCTCAAGGGAGCTAACACTGCTCCAATATGGCACATTTTTGGATTTGAAGCTGTTGAAAGAGATGTCTTAACTGGCCATGAGCAATGTCAAGCTGCTGTTTTGAGCTGAACTTTTGACTGACGCCCTGATTCTATTTATTTCTGTGACTTGCTTTGAAAGTGCAGCAATGGACGAGAAACGGCGGAATCATGAGGTTGAAATGAGGAATTATCTACACCAGTGGTTCCCAACTGGTGGGTCATGGTCTGAAAGTGGGTTGCGGGTCCATTCTGAATGGACCGCAAGTGACTTGCAAGTGTGTCACAAAATATTGTAAAAAACACACTTCATTTTGAAGTACATGGAATTTCCAGCACAAAGCTTTTATTTTGAAGTTCCATTTCCTGCTGTAGAGTGAGTAATGGACAGCTACTTAACAGAGACGTAAACTAGCTCAACAACAACAACAACCTCTCCTAAAAAAGCCCACCCTGGATCCAGAGGTGTTAGCCAACTATAGACCAATATCTAATCTTCCCTTTATGTCAAAGATCCTTGAGAAAGTAGTCGCAGACCAGCTGTGTGATTTTCTCCAGGATAATAATTTATTTGAGGAATTTCAGTCAGGATTTAGAGTGCATCATAGCACTGAGACAGCTCTAGTTAAAATTACAAATGACCTTCTGATTGCTTCAGACAAAGGACTCGTCTCTGTTCTTGTTTTATTAGATCTTAGTGCGGCGTTTGACACAATTGACCATCAAATTCTACTGCAGAGACTGGATCACTTAATTGGCCTAAAAGGTTCAGCACTAAGCTGGTTTAAATCTTATTTATCTGATCGTTTTCAATTTGTTGACGTTCGTAATGAATCATCCTTACGTACCAAAGTTTGTTTTGGAGTTCCGCAAGGTTCTGTGCTCGGACCAATCCTATTTACTCTATATATGCTTCCTTTAGGTAACATCATTAGAAATCACTCTATAAACTTCCATTGTTATGCGGATGATACACAGTTGTATTTATCGATGAAGCCAGAAGAAAGTAATCAATTAACTAAACTCCATAACTGCCTTAAAGACATAAAAAATTGGATGAGCACCAATTTCCTGATGTTAAATTCAGACAAAACTGAAGTTATTGTTCTTGGCCCCAAACAACTCAGAGACTCTTTATCTGATGACATAGTTTCTCTAGATGGCATTGCTCTGGCCTCTAGCACTACCGTAAGAAACCTCAGAGTAATATTTGATCAAGATTTGTCTTTTAATTCTCATTTAAAGCAAACCTCACGGACTGCATTTTTTCATCTGCGTAATATTGCGAAAATTAGGCCTATCCTGACCCGAAAAGATGCAGAAAAATTGGTCCACGCTTTTGTTACCTCAAGGCTGGATTACTGTAACTCTCTATTATCAGGTAGCTCTAGTAAGTCCTTAAAAACTCTCCAGCTAATTCAGAATGCAGCAGCACGTGTACTAACAGGAACTAAGAAACGAGATCATATTTCTCCTGTTTTAGCTTCTCTGCACTGGCTCCCTGTAAAATCCAGAATTGAATTTAAAATCCTACTGTTAACTTATAAAGCTCTAAATGGTCAAGCTCCGTCATATCTTAGAGAGCTCATAGTGCCATATTATCCCACCAGAACACTGCGCTCTGAGAACGCAGGGTTACTCGTGGTCCCTAAAGTCTCCAAAAGCAGATCAGGAGCCAGAGCCTTCAGCTATCAGGCTCCTCTCCTGTGGAATCATCTTCCTGTTACGGTCCGGGAGGCAGACACCATCTCCACATTTAAGACTAGACTTAAGACTTTCCTCTTTGATAAAGCTTATAGTTAGGGCTGGCTCAGGCTTGCCCTGTACCAGCCCCTAGTTAGGCTGACTTAGGCCTAGTCTGCCGGAGGACCCCCTATAATACACCGGGCTCCCTCTCTCTCCCTCTCTCTCTCTCTCTCTCTCTCTCTCTCTCTCTCTCTCTCTCTCTCTCTCTCTCTCATCCTATTACTGCATCTTGCTAACTCGGCCATTCTGGATGTCACTAACTCGGCTTCTTCTCCGGAGCCTTTGTGCTCCACTGTCTCTCAGAATAACTCATACCGCAGCGGTGCCTGGACAGTGTGACGTGTGTGGTTGTGCTGCTGCCGTGGTCCTGCCAGATGCCTCCTGCTGCTGCTGCCATCATTATTCATTAGTCATACTTCTACTGTTATTATACACATATGACTATTGTCACACAAGTATACTGTCTGATACTAATACATACTTTCAACATATTGTACCACAGTAGCCAGAACTATAACTATAA